GTAGCTTATTTTTCCTTTCTGGCATGTGGTGGTATTAATGTAAAAAGACGCTTTTTCTTATGGCTTTTGCAGAATTTTCCATGGGTTGAGCATTTTTCTGTTCTTTTCTTAAGGTTTTCTTCTTGTTTTGAAGGTTATGCTGCTTATGACCGTGAATATATAAGATCTGTATTCTTGAGTCCGGCTGTCCCTCTTAAATACTTTTGGGATGAATCTGGATATTTATTCTTTACTAATGGATGTCATTATTTTACTTCTTCCTCTGGATGCATCCTATTTAGCTGCTCTTTCTATTTGAAAGCATTTTTCAGGGCTTAAGTTCTCTTTTGTTCCATAGCCAACACCTTTTTTAAGTAGGGAGTCTCAATAGCTTGAAAACTATTTGTCCCTTTAGCTCTCTAATGTTAATGTCTAGTCTCTCTTTAGTTTTCAGATTTTGGTGGGAGTAGTCCCAAATATGACCCAATTAATTAAAGGAACAAAATTATAAAAAGGCCCAACTTGTCTGTATGTACTGTTTTGGTTTGTCTTGGGCCACACTGTGTCCACTGGGCCTCTATCACTATTTCCATTCTTTCCCAACATTATTTCTAGCAATGCTGACTCACCCTTTTCTCATATATTTTCCTTCAAAAAGGCCACATAAAAAACCTCTCATTTTTTCAGTGTCATGGTGAGCTCTAACCACACGTTTAGTCACTGTAGTTGTGAAAGCTTTGCTGTTTGCATAGAATTCAGATTTTGTGGTGCTCTGATACTCCCTTACTGTTCTTTTTTTGTATCTGTCTGCTAATGATTCATTATCTCTTCCTCAAACTTTGATTAGACAGATCGTTGTTACCATGTTTCATATAGTATATTTTGGCAATGGTAGTAGGCAGAAAGTGTCTTCTAAAGCTGAATTGTGAGAACTCTTCACTCAAGTGTTGCAGGTCCATCTGGCATCCAAGTGATGTGCAAACAGATTGGCTTCCTCTTCCAAGCGTTTTGCTGCTTCAGCCTTTGTCCTTCACCACCTTTGCAGCTTACTACAACTAGATCCCTTTAGTAAAGAATGCTTTGTACTCAACTTTCAGATGCTTCAGTGCAGAGAAACGCAGTTGGTACAGCCATTGATCCTTGGTTCTTCATGGTGTACAAGTGGTACACCAATAAGTACTTTCAAAATTAGGCCCAGCTTCATAAGGGGCATCGGCAGAGCCAGACACATGGCACAGAGTGGAAACGCTTCTGGGAGTTAGATCTGAGAAGAAAATGGGAACCAGCATATTGTAGCAAGAGGATTTTACCCTTTGTCTTCTGATTTATTTTTGCTTACAGTGAAGCATGGTAATTCAGTCTGTAGGTGCCTGGTACATTGACCATACTGGCCAGATTCTCATATGGGGAGTGAGGGAGACAAGATAGAGGAAAAATAATACATTTTTTTAGCCATATGCTACCAAAAGCATATGCCTCCAAGTTTTTTGAGGAGTCAAAGAGGACCTAGAATTTCCATCCAACTGTGGAAAGAATGACTGTTTCCCATCATGAAAAGGTGGAGGTCTTCAATGTGTTTCCCTTTGCAAAGAAGCATCACTTTGGTCTTGTCTGGATTCAGTTTGATTCATCTGTTCTCCATTTAAGAACTAATTTCCTGTAGTTATTCTGATGTTTTATAGTGATGATAGTTGCATCAGAAAATGAGATAAATAGTAGATTGTCAGCAACATACTGTTAGCAATTGAACACATGCCATATCACTCTCTCTCTCAGCAGTCTCATGTAGATAGATGTAGATTGTATGGATCCCTGTGGGATCCTGAAGGTGAGGACCTTGGAGGAAGAGGCTTGTATCCACCACCTTTTTTTTTAATTACATGTAGAAAACAAGATGCAGTACTGTTGTTCGGCTAGGACTGTGTAATAGGTGATTAAGGTGTTTACGAATAGAAATCTGGAGATTATAGTTCCATGGTTGGTGGAAGTTTTATAAATTCCTCCAGAAAGCTGTCAGAATTTCCATCTGTTGTTTGTGTATCACTGGGAGCCCTGCTTTCTCCAGTGTCTTGCCTTGCAGTGCAAGTACTCAAACATTTTCATTTCTTGGTGGAACATATTTTGCATTTGACATTGAGACCACTGGACTCTTTGACTCTTCCTCCGTGTTTTCTTTGCTTGCTTTTTTTCTTTTTTTTTAACTTCTGGTATTTATCTTGGCCATTTACTGATGGTGTTCTGGTGTGTCTCTTGGTTATTCTGAAGGGCAGCTGTTCTAGGGCAGGGTTGAGAAGGTATTGAATCATGACTCAGTGATGCTAAAAAGTCCAGGTGTTTCATCTGCAAAGAGAGCACAGATGTGTTCTTTTTCTAAGGAACTTTTCATTTGGCAGCAAGAACTTCAGATATTTTTCTTACTATCCTTTGTTTAATGATGCTACTGGTCTAAGCAACTGGTTGTAAATACCAGCTTGTGGTGTTTATTCTAATATGCGGTGTTCTGGGACGATGACCCCTCACCATAATGATACCAAGGACCTAGAAAAGTAATGTTGAAATGCATGTAAGTTTTCAGTCAGTCTGGTTTGACTGGGTTTTTACTTAGTCACTATGACCTAGAAGCATTGTAGAGTGTGCTCTCTATGTTTTGAATGCTCAGCCCTTACACAGATTGTAGCAGCAGATAAGCAGTGTTAGAGTGACAGTCTGTGGTCTGAATATCAGGGTGGTATTTAGTCCGGTTTTTTAAAACTCTTTCACTGACAGGATACAGCAGCAGACTGCTACAAGGTGGCATACACCAGAGATGGGGAGGTAATGGCAGAAGCACAGAGCTATGGGTTTTCCAGCAAAAAGGGAGGTAAAAGGGGTGGTAGGTTCAAAACTGAAAGACAATCTCGTCATACCCCTAAGTCTGTGAACAACTTATATACTTAGTTTTGATTAATTTTAGTTTCTGGAGGCAATATTTTCTGCATCTGGCACTGAGACTGCAGGACCCTCCTCTTCTTATAATTAAGTAGTCAGGGGGAATGTGTATATCAGGATGAGACTGACATTTTTTTCAGGACTATTGATAAAATCTTATGCTACTGGACTGGTCAAATATGAGGATTATTGGACATCCTTTGTTTCTGATGTTTTGTATAACATAAAGAAAATTTGGTAGGGATCAATTATGGAGACAGATGCTTTGCATGTCAAGCCAAACTGTCTGGATGAAAATTCTGGGAGTAACCACAGAAAAGATTAATGCTTTCAAAATATGTGGATGAGCCGTACCTGTCAAATAGGCCAAAGTGAAGCCCCATATTCAGATGCTTTCACTGCAGACAGGATATTTGAAATGCAGGTATTATAGCAGAGACCTATCTCTATTAAAGCCAAAATTTGAAGAAATTACCTCATTAATAACTAATTTTGCATTACAAAGCATTATTTATACTTGACCGGGCTCTGTCTGCTTTGGACTGGAAACAGTGTAGTCAGTGCAGTTCTAATGTCAGGGATTCACTTTCACGTGTTATGTACACACATAGTCAACATTGCCAAAAAAATCCAAGCCTATTTAACCAACAAGTTTGCTGCTTATCAGATGAAAAAAAATTATTGTAGAACTGGGATGAATTAATTTTTATATTCTGCAGGTTTATCTGAGCCGGCTCAAAGATTCATCCTATTTCACTTATTTCATTGATTTATCAAGTTTGTCCTTCTGCCCCTGACTTTTATCTGAAAACATTTCAGTGTACTAAGCTGTGAGATGCTCAGGTTGTGGTGCAGCTCTTTTTAAAAAAATGTTAGACTCTTATGGCTTACACATCAATATATGTGTGATTACAGAGCAAGATATTGTTGCTAAAGCTGGGGAAATTATTTATTATTAATATAATTAATTAAGTATGAAGTATGGGGTAATATGTGAATGACTGTTACTGCTTTGACTGCATAAGAGAAGCATTATTCTTCCCTTGTTCTCCTACTTCTCTACTGGTAACACAAAGGAAGAGAAAAATCATGAATCCTCCCTCTTTTCCTCCAGGTAGGTAGGTCAGGAAGAAGCTCTTGCTTTGCTCTCTTTTAATAAATCATTGTCAGAATAGGTTCCGTATGACTACATGAAAGCTGGAGAGCTCATTTCTTACTCCCCCGGGTATCAGCAGACATGCAGATGTGTGCAGAGGGGTGCAGTCCAATGCATATGCCCACGTTATGGTTAGCAAGATATTGTGAACAATGCCAGTTTCCCTTACTTTTATGTATTCATTAGAAAGTCTGAAGAATCTAACTGAACTTCACAAGCTCCCCAGAGAAAACCTCTAGTATTTTGTGAGAGATGGACAGAATATTTAAATCACAAGATTTGAATTTATTTAGCCACTTTCTCTGACTGGTAAACTGGTATAAAAAAAATCTGATGGATTTTTTATATAAATAAACACTCACAAGACTCATAGAAGAAACAAAATTTCAAAAATTTACACCAATTGCGCAAAACCTCAGAAACAATGAAAAATATGGCCTTAAAGATCAAGTGTTTTCCATTAAAAAAAATATGTTATTCAATTTAGTTAGTCAGCTGTGTAGGCTGTTACGTGCACCCCACATACACACATGTGAAAACATACACACATATACTCATGTGTTAAGTTTGCAGTTGTATGGTTAAAAGAGTTTTGAGGAAAATGTATCCTATTAACTGCTTAGCTATGTGACTAATGTAGAACTTTAATATAAATCTCAGAAATATCCATCCCATTGGCTTTTTATTATTGCCCAAAGTAGGTCAGGATGATAACAGCTGGATGCAAAAAGCAATCATATTTTCCGTATAAATATGGTGCTATTGTTTAGTAAGCTATACTCCATAAATGTATTAGGGGGATATACTGGCTTGCCCTGGATTGCTTTATTCTTTTTCTTGAAAAATATCTTTTGTTTCCACCCCCCACTTAGAAGGAAGGAATGTTTCCCATTAAGTTATGAAGTGAGTTTGTTTTTCACTTTTGCCTTTTATATAGGGATACTGAATATAAAGGACTACAGCTCTCCCTGGATCAGGTCACTGCTACCAAGCCGGCATTCTCATATGCAAATTCAACTCCAACCATAACGGATAACAGGAAGGGAAGCAAATCTCGCCTCTCGAGCACAAAGTCAAAATCAAGGACATCACCATATCCACAGGTAACTGTCTTTGAAACAAGAAATTAAATCTTCTTGTATATCTTGATTTTGCCTTCTATTTTGCACAAGTAACTAGAAAGGGCCAAAGAACATGTTTCTTAAAGGGAATAAAAGACCGCAGGTTATAAGATCTTGAGGCGGGAATATGTTTCTTTAAACTGTTTCTAAAAATCTGGAAACATTTATGTTTCAGCATGCATAATAAATCATCATCAACAACAATAGCAACACAGGGCTCAGAGTTAATGAGGAGCGGACAGAAGGACCAAATGAAAATGTTGGTTTTGAAATACTTGGTTTGAGAGGACTGTGAGTCTTGCCATTTGAGAAAGCTTGCTTTTTCTTACTTACTCTTTATTAATTCCAACATATCTAAAAGCTGCCAGATGTTTGACAGCAGTTTAATACTGAACTCTTAGTCAAGAGGAGTGAGTTTTGAGAAGGGAAAGCAGCCAGCTAACTTGCTGACTGGAAAAAGAAAGCTTTTCTATGTACAAAGCTTTGAAAGGAAGGAAACACTAGGAGGTGGTCATTGGCATCAGTAGACTTTAATTTCCCAGATTTCATTTTCAAGCCTAATGTGTAAGGAACATGTCCCTGCCTGGAGAATGGACCAAACTCGATTGGGTCTGTGAACTGAAGCTTACCCAACACATTTGGGCAACTGGATTCTGCAGGCAATGCCGCAGCACTTGCATACTTACGTTGTCAAACTTTTAGCTCAAATACATCTGTTTGTTAATATAACCATGATGTTTACTAATGATACAAGTCTTACTGCCCTTATTCCTCCACACAGTGGATATAAATGTATGCTTTCATAATGTAACATTGAAGAGCTATGTATTTTTAAAGAGCCCAGGTCAATATTTAACTGATAATAACCTTAATGACTACAGTTTCTCTGTAGGTACAATGTTTTCTTAACTGACCTCTAAGAGTGTATAATGCGAACCCAAATGTCTACATCACTTCCTTGTTTTCTTTCTTTTTCCCCCTCAAAAGTACCAAGGGTAAGGATTTAAATTAAATGACATCTGCTTTTGGAAAAGGGAATATTTAACAGAGCACCTAGATATGAATTCACATTCCTAATTTTAAGAATCTAGTTTTGTCTGAGGTTGTTATAGCACATTTGTTCATACACATTTCTGTGGGTTGTTAAAAAAGCCTTTTTCTTGAATGCACTACATTAAACAATTGCAATCAAACTGTTTCAGAGAATTGCGGAAGATACCTACAAATAATTCTAAATTAGATTTTTAGAGTATCTTTGATTTACTGAAATTACACTTCATCTCTCCTTATACAGTCCTTTCCAAAGTACTCATTTGCTATCAGGACAATCCCAGCTCAAGACTTGTTATCCTTCCACATCAATCTGATTTCTGAAAGTGTGACTTTCATTGGTACCTGCTTACTCTTTCTGCCACCAGAAAAAAACCCTGAACTAGCAGTGCAGTGTTGTGACTGCTGGTTTATCAGGGATTGTTGTCTGGAACATCAGGGTGCTCAGTCTCCAGTTTCATTTTGCATCCTCATTACCAGCTGCTTCATAGTAAAGTCACAGATTTCATCATTCAAGAAGCAGCCGTGGTAGTTGCCAGTATCTTGAAAAATGGTCATACCTTTCATTGCAGCCCATCACCACAAGTAATGCTGGCAGCTTGTATTTGTCTCCCTCTCATCCTTCTCCACCACTGAACAAACTGTTGAAAGACTAAGAGAAGCCCTTGTGAAGAACATGGAGCAGGTGGTACAGCCTGTGTTCTTCAGCCTCCTGCCCATATAATTTGCCAGTCAGCTGAGGAGAATCACAGTGTGACTTAAAAGCCATGGCTGAAAAGTGAAGTCACGAGTTTTGGCTTACACAGGAGCTTAGGTTGTGGTGGGGAAAGGAAGCAGGAAGTTCATTAGCAAAATAATGGCAGTGAGTGAAGTACTTCCTGAACTAGAGGGCACTCTAGGAGATTTTAACTGTACATAATTTCTTTCTTTTTTTCCTTTCCTTTTTTTCCTCTTTTCCCCTTACCATTTACTTTTCTTCTCTCTTGAAGAGAAAAAGAAATCATATGCTTTACTGGGTGCTAACTGAGAATCCTCTGCCTTGCCAGCTGTGTGCACCTAGGATAGCTACATGAGATATGAACTGTATCAAAATGATGCTAATCAATCTCAGCTGAATTTTTACTACTAGGGCAAAAAGTGGATGTTTTGGTTATCTAAGATAGTATTAATTTTTTTTCCCTCAAATCTTATTCAAAAGCAGGCAGAGCATAATATGGGTCTTGTAGACTTAAAATAAAACTGAGTTCATTAAACTGGAAGGATTTGTCAGCATCTGATTAACACTGCCTGATGTTAGTACAGTGAACTAGTGGGTTCTATGAAACCAACCTCAAGCAAGGGAAGGGCAAGCAAGAGGAAAGCAACCTAAAATTCATGATAAAACAGTAGGATTTGCCCAGGCACTTCGAACAGTGCTTTTTTAGTCCTGCCCTATCAGAGGGGTGCAGAGCTGAAAGAGATGGTGGGAGAAAAACCTGGGAGATGAAGATTTGATAGATATTAGCAAGAAAAGAAAATTATGAGTTGGTTATAATAGTAATAATAATAACAATAATAATAGTGAGTGGCTCCCAAAATCTAGCCCCAGACCTCATTTATTTTGTACTCCCAAAAGCTAGCCCTGAACCTCATTTATTCTGTACACAGAAAATAGCAACAAGGTTGGAAAAACATTTTAATTATGATCATCTGAACTGCTTTGGAGTTTAACGTCCCATTAACTATGATTGTCCAAAGAAAATATTTTAAATTGCCTGTTGTCTACCTCTAGTGGAAATGTTTTATGGTCAGATCTGGTAAAATGTTTGTTGCTTCATATATCATCTTAGTTCTTGGATAAAGATCATATATATCTAATAAAGAATGCACACATACAAGTAATGATATACCCAAGAGCCACTGGATGGAGGCTTTGGTGTGTATACAACATTCATAAATTTTTTGAAATTGGTGCATATTAATACACCTGATTTCAGAGGTGTATTGATTTTATAGCTCCTTTAAATGAATAATCTGGATTAATTTTACAATTCGCCTCCATTTGGGCATATCACCCAATGGGATAAAGATAACTGAACTAGGCTGAATTGTAGCCAGTCTGGTTTTTGGTTTTGTTTTTTTGGTTTGGTTTTGTGGTTTGTTTTTTATTTTTTTTTTTTTAGTTTCTTCCTGTAGCCTAAAGCTTTGGCAGCTTCTAGTGTATTCAAAAGCAAAGCAAAACACTCTTTTTATAGTAAACATAACTCTTGGTCTGGTGAAGAGTCACCAGCAGTGGGGGTTATTTTAATGGACATGCTGTATTACTTTAATCTAAGCCTTTCACCATCTGTTCTGCCTATAATAGTAAATGCGAAAAGAACATATTTTACATTTCAGGATTACATTAGTAAAAAGTAAGATAAAAGTGATTTAAAAGCATGCATATGTTCTTAGTACAATGCAGCCCGCATCTGTGATTTTTTTTTTCTCATGGTTAAGACACAAATGAAGAGGAAAGCTGCTAATGCTGATGTAGTGAAAGTTTTTCATGGAAAAGAGGACTCTGTGAGGGTTTCACTATATATTTAATGTTTATAATAATAAAAACCTGAGTAGGCTGCCAGAAAATTATATATCTATAACATCTATTGTTTGAACATCTGGCATGGTATGTGGAGCAGGCTGATGTTGCTGTGTATGACAAGATGAGTCCTCAGACCAGTAAGACACCTGTAAGAATGGAAAGTCAGGAAAAAGAAAATCACCTGAGAAATATTAAATTGTCTACTGGCGTAATATACTTCCACGAGCTCTCATAGGGTAAGCTTTTTTTAGACATGGAATTTATATTTTCCTATTTCCTCACCCTTCAGCCCTCCTGAAGTTTTTCTTGGAGTGAAAATAACATCAGTGGCGGCCTATAGCCCCTTTCTACGTCAGTGCTGATTCCACTAGCATGCTCTCACTGTGATGGCACACTGAATTAACACTCTGGAAGACATTTCTAATTTTCAGAGGTGGCAATTCAGTTTCCAGGAACCAGCTGGAGTACCAATTAATTTATATTTTGTTGTTGTATATGCCAGAAGACAATTCAGAAATCACCTGAAAGGATTTCACATGTTGCCTGTCTGAAGTTCTTTCTCACTGCTGGTTAAACTTTGTCAAAAACCAGAAAGTAATAAATTACTTTTGTCTTCTGGATCCTGATAGAAGTCTGAAGGCAAAAATTAATAGAAAGGAAAACACTTCTGCTGAGGCATGACTGGACTTGGCAAAAAAAAAATCACTGATTTTAATTTGATGTAATTTTCATTAAATCTGATTCCATTTTTTATGGTCTTTCATCACATATGGGAGCCTCATTCTGACTTGAGAGATAATGTTTCCACTCCCATTCCAGTAAAGCAATATCTTTGATCATCCTTTCATTTCTCTCCCCATCAACATGTCACACATGCCCATATTTGAAGTATCCACCTGTCAACATTCGATTTCCAGAAGAGGCAGCAGTAGGACTGCAGTGGTGGAGCAGCCTCATGACACCAAATAGATGTGTGGCTATCTTTAAAGGGAATTAGACATATTTTTGCCCTGTGCCTTCTGATGTTTTACCTTAAGAGTAAGTATTCATATCAAGCCATGTCTGTTGGCAGACAAGGTGGGCCACAAACAATTCACTTAATTTAATTCTATCCATGGTCTGTAGCAGCTGCTACAGGTCAGATCTCAAATAATTATAATTTACATCAAGTACAAAGAAGATGCATTAAGTAAAGTTGGTCTTGACTACATCATTGTATGACATCACATGATGCATTCCTGATACACTAAAAACACATGCTTTGAGAGTATTTCCATTTCTCTAAGAAAAGTGCACAAAGGCCTGTGCAATTGTGATTAGGTTCAAGATAAAAGCAAAAACTAACTGAGAAGGTTTTCAGTTAAATGAAGAAATTCCCTTCAAGAGAAGAGATGCTGGACCCTGAAGTGTCCTTAGAAAAAGAGAACTAATAGACAAATATCTAGTACAGCTACAGGAAATTAAGAGCTTTCAGTCTGAAAGATTCTCTGGTATTTATTATCATAATAAATTGTCCAAAATTTTTTCATTACGTTACTGGAAATTAATTTTCCTTGCCCTCCCCATGAAAGAAACATATTCTGTGAGTTTTGTTTTTAATAAGAAATAAATGAACTTTTGACTTTTCTATACTTGCATTTAGGCTTGCTTATACTGTATAATATTTCAGCTTAATTTTTAAAATTAAAAAGACTAGTTTATAAAAGTCAAATCCAAAAAGACCACTAAAAATAATTCTAAAATTAAGAACAGATACAAAAGTATTTTTCCTTTTGTCTATTTTCATTTCAGCTAAAATTTAGTAATTGTTAATAGTCTTGTTAACGATTTCTAATTTTTTTGTTGGAAACTTAATTTTATCTATACATTTTTGCCTAAAAAGTTTACAGTCATTCACCTATTTAGAATATATCTTTGTGACTAACCAGTTTGCAGACTTTAGACCCGAAAGGATGCTAGAAGAGTTAGATGCTCCAGTTGATCGCATAACACTGTGATGACTGAATAAAGTTCCTAGTTAATATATACCAAGTTACTGGAATTTAAAAGAACACTTTTGTGGCTCTGTAACTATCTTACCTTCATAAAAAATCATATTTTTCCTTTAATCTCTAAAACCTTGTGATGCATATAGTGGTACTAAATTCCTGACCTCTTCCATATCTACTGGTAGGCTTTTTGCCTATGGGTATTCTTCTGACAACTAATAACAAAATATAATTGACTTCCTCAAAGCTATGACCTTTTCTTTGTTTCCTTTAAATAACCTATCGTGTTAACAAACAGTATTCACAAACATAAACTGCAATACTGAAGAAATACCCAATTAAATGCCAAAACCGCTATTGATGTTGCACAGATGGTTTATGTTTCTGTAAGTCAAACATCTGGTCAGTACTTTCAGTTGGGAAGTGCATAAAACTTTGGTTCTGGTTGGTAATGAGGAGTTTCATAGCAACTTAATCTAATGAAAAGGCAGGTAAGCTCATGTTAGGCCTATTAAAAGAAAACGGAGAGTGGGCAGCTGGAAGGTGAGTGAAGGAATGGGAGAATTCTGAAGTTTCATGTTATAATACACTGATTTGTGACATGAGTGTGTAGTGCTGAGGATGTGAGCATGTACAGCTTTGGTCTTGTCCCAGTCCATATCATGGGAGAAATTGAGTTAAAGCTGTTCTGTGAAGTTTGACAGTTCCAATAAATAAAAAGATTTAAAAATGAGATAGGTAAATTCTAGGAGGTTTAATAAGTTGTTTTTTTTTTCCTTTCCCAAAAATTATCTGAAAGTTTGAAGCATTCATTAATAGCATCTAGAAATCTGTGAGATTTAACCTAACTCTTACTTCTCTCTAAACAAATGCCCATGCTCCTATTCTGGACAATTTTCTAACTGCCTCTTAGTTGCTTATTCTGTGCTGGGAGGGCCCTGCTTAAGTGAGGGTGCCAAATGCCCACTATGCCTGCTAGAAAAGTCACCTTTTCTAGCAAATAGTTTCTGGGTTTTCCTTGTTCCCATATTGCATCAGAGCTTTAATTTTTAGCTTCTTACCTATCTGCCATCACTTTGGAGCTTTATCCTGTAGAAGTGTTGGTAGCCCAGGATCGACAAAAGGCTTTCTTTTCCCTTCAAGTAGGAGGAAAGAAGTTTAAAGATACAGTTCCAGGTAAGAAAAACAAAACCATCAGCAAACAAAATATGAGGAAAAGAGAGTGAACTCTTAGAAAAAAAACCCTTGAAATACACCCGGTTTCAATTTGACATGTGAGAATGCTCCAGGAGCAGTGTTATTTCAGCCCCTTTTGTAAGCGCTTTCCTGAAGTGCATTGGAGCACCATTGCTGAGCAGAAGCACTAGCTTTCAAAGCAACAAGAAAAACCTGGACATACTAAAAACCTATTGAATTGCAGCATTGATATTGCTGAGCCTAATATTACACATCATAAAGAAGATGGCTATTAAGGGTCGACATGGGATGTTTTAGACTTTCATGAGGTCTATTCTGTCATCTGTGAACTCATTACAGAGTGTTGTACAGGAAAGGACCAGGAGTCCAATCAGAAGGTGCAGATATGTGGGCACACTCACAAAAAACACCCTATCACATACACACTCTGCCTTTCCAGTGCAGTCACTTGCAGATTTCATGCAGGTGTGGTAATTTCCATGCTGCTTCTCCTGTTTTGCAGTATTCTGGATTTCACACTGAGAGATCTGAGTCTGACCACGAGAGCCAGTGGGGTGGGAGCCCTCTGACCGATACGGCTTCTCCCCAGCTCCTGGAGCCTGCAGAGAGACCAAACTCCCAGCACCACGATGTCTCCTGTGCCTACAGACAGTACTCAGACCGCAGTGCGCTCTGCTACGGCTTTGCACTAGAGCACTCCAGGCTGACTGATGACAGGCACTTCCACACTCAGGCCTGTGAAGGAGGCAGATGTGAAGCTGGACGGTATTTCCTTGGCACACCGCAGCCGGGAAGGGAGAGCTGGTGGGGTTCTCGTTCAGCATTGCCTCTGACTAAGTCGTCCCCTGAGAGCAGAGAAGTGTATGAAAACAGTATGCCCCACATAACATCAGTGCACAGGATTCATGGTAAGAGATAACAAGGATTTGCAGAAACGACACCACCTCAGATAGAGCAATATGACATATACACTCAGCTTTTTATGTGAAAAATGGAAAATGAGAGAGACTTTTGATCTATATTCTTGTCTCTGAGGTCACATCTCTGGAGATGAGGGACACTTGAAATTCAAGTTGAGTTTTACAGTCTGGCTTATATGCAGCAAAATACAATTTTGTTGTATATTCATTACAGTGGAAGTGCCTGACTGATGAGATTTTAAGGATGATCATAAAAATATAAGTCAAGTAAAAAACATATTTCTATCAAATGGATTATTTTGTTTAAGATCAAACTACTTTGGATGGAGTATGTTTAGCAAAAAATTAGAGCTAAATCCAAGTGAGATATTAAAAAATTGTTCTCCAAGTGACTTTTTTCTCTAGTGGTTATTCCTAGGTTCTGCAAGACTTTATATTTATTTTTATTTAAAATTGGCAATTCAAATTAATATTTACTTTTGGTTTCAGACATTTATCCTCAGCTGTAATTTTTAGCCAGTGGAATCTCTCCATCCTTTCAGCACCATGCCTAAAGTTTTGTTTGACCTGTCTGACAGGTTGCAAACTCAGTACATGAGCACATTTTGAGAGGCTGAATCTAATAAATAAATCACAGTCAAAGCCTGATCTTGTGTTTGGAAAAGTCTGAAGGTGCTTGATTCAAAAGTCATGGACTGAGTCTTGGAAGACAGCAACTGATCCAAAAGTCAGAGTTCAAGGTTTTAAGGATAGATGCAGTATCAAAAAAATAAAAAGTTTTTCTAGTAAAATAGTCTATCAAAGCATGGGTTGCCTCTAAATAACTCATAAAACCGAATTACATTAATACTAGTGCATTGACTTGCAGAATGAGGCTTTGTAAATAAAAAAGAACTGTGTCATTTTACCCCAATCTGAGGAAAATTATGTTGAGAATAGAAAAAATTATCAAACAGCTAGTTATAGGAAATGCTGTCAGATGAAAATTAGGAAAGGAAAGGAGCCCTAAATTTTGCTCATGAGGACTATTCTCCACTTTTCTTGTGAGAACACAACTCCTTTTTTGTGTCTGTTCTATATTTCTGTCTTACTGGTGTTTCTCTAGCTTTTTCTTCTCAAAAAGAGAACATAGTGAAGTATGATAATTTTGCTGGCAAATTTTATGCATGATAATTCTTGCTAAGCATAGTAATATCACACCAAGGTGCAAATGCAAAAAGGTTAGATATTTATTCCATACGTTTAACAAGGATAATCAATGCAAATAGAAAATATAATTTGGTTTTAGTTTGTTGCTTGGTTTTACTGTAATTCCAGGTGCTGCATTTATTTTCTTTATTGTATCAAGTCTTAGATTTTTCAGTAGGCTTTTAGTCTGCATGTAGCTTTGGGAGAAAAACCTGGCCTGGGTCTTAGTTGAGGAGAGTAACATCTCAGCTTCCCTTGCAAATTTGCCATTTTCATTAGGTTTCAAATCTTGACCTTTCACAAATTAAACTCTTGGACAATAATATGTGAACATTGCTGTCAGAGAAGTTACTTTGGGCAGAAAATATTTTCTTCTTTTTCAGTTCTTTTAATGTATATTCTGTTAGTTCTGGCTTGGGGTCACCTTACAATAACAGTTATCTGACCAGTAGATAATGCATATGAGCCCATGTGTTTCTGGTCATACTCAGGGAGTCTAGGACAGCGCAGATATGGTTTGTGCAGTGAGATATACTCAGCATGTGGTTCAAAGCTCTGACCAGATTCCCAGTGCATCAAGGAGTGCTGGATGTACCATGCAGCCCAGTGGCTGGAGCTCTCTTCTACCTCCAAGCTCTGGCATTTTAAGTCCAGATCTTAAGAGAATGTGAAGGATAAATTCATGCCATGATACTCCATAGTGCAGTACTTCCCTCAGAAAATGGCAGGATATGTTTATTATAAAAGCCCATCACTGATTTTTGTTTTGAACTCTGTAACACAGTGGTAGTTGTCTGCCACCCTAACAGATCTGTATGACCTGACCCAAAACAGAACAGGGGGAACTCCTTGTGCTAATCTGAAAATGGGTTTCCTTTGAGGAGTACTGTCAACCAACTCAAAGGGGCTCATCCTCAAAGAGGACTTTGTATGTGCCAAGGCAAAGACATAATTAAGTAATGTGTGAAGGTCCTACAGACCTCCCTGCAGGTGTATATTTCAGGAGATCGAAATGCAGCCTTAGCTGGCTACTCAGGTTTTGGGGTCACTCACTTCCAAGTGAGGACTGACAGGTCTGATTCTGTCCTTTCAACTACTTGCAAGCTGAACACCTTCTCTAATATGTCTATGGGCCTTATTTTTTAAAGAGAAGTAAAAATGTACTTATATTTTCCCATTCCAAAAGGAAATATTTATGCATTGGGATATGACACCATGTTTTTATAGTAACTCTCTCTAACAGCTATGGGTTCTTGTGCTCCTGAAGAAGAATTGCTTCATTACTTGTAGTTATTTATTGTTGTGTAACCTGCATAAAGTCAGTACATGACCACAAGCTATTTATCAACATTGTATATCCTGGAAAGACCTAGGAACACATGCTAGAATACTGCACATTTTTAAGTCCCTGAGATTTTTGGTTTTACTATGGCCTCTATTCATTAGACCTTGTTGATGCAAAGAGGGAGGAGTCGGGGGTCTGAACATTGGCAGTGAAGGCACTCTGACATGCCCTAAGGTACCCTGCATGACCTCTAACTGCTTCAGAAGACAGAGTTCCCATAGAGTTGGTGCCATACCTGTTGGGCAGGTGCTTGGTTACCCTAGAGTGTATCAGGTGGCACTGGATGTCTGTGTTGAGGGACTTAGATGTCTTCTTTGTATATTTCCAACTGTGTTGCTTGTTCCATGCGGAGACACTGGAAACCAGAATTTGCCACTGAAAAGCAAGAGGTATACAATGGTCATTTTTGGTCATTGTTATGAGTCACTTGTCTCCATCTTGGTTTTCTGTCTGTAAAATAAGGTACAGATTACATGTTCTGCGAGATCACTTACCTCCTTAGACCTCAATGCTTTTCTCCTTTCTCTCTTTCCTAGGAAGAGGACACTGGGATGAGGACAGTGTTGTTAGCTCACCTGATCCTGGCTCTGCCAGTGAATCAGGTGACCGATACCGTACTGAGCAGTATCAGAGCAGTCCACATGAGCCCAGCAAAATCGAAACACTAATAAGAGCCACACAGCAAATGATTAAAGAAGAAGAAAACAGACTACAGCTGCGGAAAACCACTCCCGACCCGCTGGTCTCCATTAATGGCACAGGGAAGAAGCATGCTATCTGTTTTGCAAACTACCCTCAGCAGCAGTTGGCAGGGGATGTCTGCCGTGTCCCAACGGTTGCCAACACTCCTCCCTGTGAACACATCCAGCAGCGAGATGGAAAGATTATGAGCCCACATGAAAATGACTATGACAACAGCCCCACAACACTATCTCGAATAAGCAGCCCCAGTTCTGACCGAATATCAAAACCTAGTTTGGTACTTGCTAAAGACTACCTGCATTCAGACATGTCCCCTCATCAAACCCAAGGAGACCACCCAGCAGCCTCTCCAAATTACTACAGCTCCCACAGGCAGTACTTTGATAAGCATGCTTACACACTAACTGGATATGCCCTGGAGCATCTATATGACACTGAAACAATTAGAAACTATTCACTAGGCTGTAATGGATCACACTTTGATGTGACTTCTCACTTAAGGATGCAGCAAGATCCAGCACAAGGACACAAGGGAACATCTGTTATAATAACGAATGGAAGCTGACAGGTTTTTTTCTGAAAACTGTTGGGCTTTAAAAAATAACCTTTGCGATCTAATTGGAAGATACATATTTTCATGCCCTTGTCCTTACCAGCATTTCATATACCACAGTGCACTAGAAAAAAGTACCTAAGGTTTGGGGGATAAGTTAGTTAACACACATTACTTTAAAAAACATGCACTGACATGCAGGGTTAGAGTGAATGGAACTAAACTCAGAGTTGGTGCCATGCAGGCTGAAAAGGATAGAAGAGGTCTAGGCCGGGAGTGGTTGGGGCAGGCTAACAGAGCAGTTTATGCACATTTTGTAAGAGGTGGTTGATTGGAAACGCTGCCAAGGGTGGACCTTCTGAACTGCATGGGTCCCAGCCAACAAAACTGCTATGCACTCTTTTAATACAGAAAATTGGAATGTGTTCCATTGAAATACACACCAAAATGTGTGCTTCTGGTGATCTGTTTATTCCCCAATGGCCAAACATGTTATGCTGCTCCATGATATAAAGCATCCATGGCTGACGAAGGGAAGAAAGAAGAGAGAGCTCGAATTGTTAGGTCCTTGTGTACTCACATGCATAACTATTTACATATGCTTGATTTGAAAAGAGTCAAATGAGCAGTATCCTTCTGACTAGTTTGGTCAAATATTTACTTCTACTGTATTAAAAAGAGAGGGGCATTCTCAGTGTAGTTTTGAGAAACACAAAGGTGTTGGTCGTCTTACTGTAGAGATGGGAGGTCGTTCTCATATTTTTGAAAGGTTGCCCTAGGTGAGTAGTGGAATGAAATGGAAGAAAATTGCCTGGAGAAACAGGGAGAATAGACTGGCTTTAGGAATGGTCCAAGATAAACACAGTTAACTCTATAGCTGTGTATGCCACTTAGTAATAATTATAAAATAAGCAAAAGTTATTCTAAATGGCTGAATAATTAAGAACTAATTTGAAACACGGAGGGAACTCAATAAAATCGTAGAAATTTTGCTGTAAAATACAAATGTAATCGTGCCAGTGTAAAAATATGAGAGGAGAGAATAGGTAAAACCTGTTTGGTGGTTTGTCTAACTTCTGATAAAGTTTTGGAGTAGATAGAAAATTGTAACTACTCTGACATAAAGTAATAGGTGTTATTTCAAAAAAGAAATATGAATTCTTTTCTTGCTTGCAGCAAAAATTTTAATGGATATCTGAAAATACCAGAGATATCAAAATCAGTCATATGTACATAAAAAAGTACAGAAGGAAATCAGTGTTCCAAACAATTAAATTGTATTAAAAATGTTAGTATTATCAGGGCCTGTCCTAGAGTTATAGAAGACATCAAAAGAGGCAGAGAAACTTTTTAAATTTTTAATAACTTCATGAACAAAAAGACTGATTGATTGGAAAAGAATAAATACAAAACATATGCTCAAAATGTAAAATAGGGCATTTTTAGGCACAGTTGCTAGACCTGTTCTTCTTTGTATTGCATTTATATGGTTCCAAAGTTGACTGCAATGGGAGCAGGACCACTGGTCCCCCTTATGCCAATGTGGAGATAAGGGGACTTGAGGTGGTTACTGAGATTAGCACTAGGACTATTTTCATTTGTAACATTAAGAAGCTCAACATATGGGACTGAGTCATCAATAGGACTAAATATAAACCAGCATGCTATGGGTGGGTTAAAAATATCTTTTTCCAAATAAAACTAATCAGAAGCAAAAGCTAAATAATAACATTATAAACCACGTAAGTAGAGATGTACTTGAAAGCAGAGGAAATTACCTCTCTGAACTTGGAATATTGTGTATAGTCCTGATCACTCCAAGGCAGATTGTGAATCTTGAATTGAGTAGTACCTTACTCCATAAGCAACCTTTGTTGACTGCAGTGTGATTGCTCCTGGTGAAAGGCACATTGAACACAAGGAAGAGCAACACAGTCTGGTCTTTATTATCTAAACCTCATAATAGAAGAGGTGGAGCAGAGCTCAACAAAAGATAAAGAGACTGAAAGATCTAATAAAACCTTTAAATAAACTGGGTCTGTCATCTTTGTAAGGGAAAAGAGGAAGGGGTAATGTCGCTGATGTGCACCAAGCTCTGCACAGAGGAGAGGTAAATAATGGTCTGAAACTATCTAAACTACCAGCAGAAATGAGAGACAGGGCATTGAATGATAGCCAAGGCAAAATGAGAACAAAATGATTTGACTCATTGCCAAATGAATAACAAAGGTCATAAAAAGCAGCAGCTAGAGATTTTTGTTTGTTTATTTGTTTAAGATAAAAACAAGGCAAATAATTGAAAAACATTGACAACTGTTAACTCAGAGGAAGTAATGGACCAAAATGGACTTCTTTCAGCCCAACAATTGTATATATTCCTAAAGCATAGGAATAAGAAAGTATTTTTGATAAATCTAATTCTGGATATATATTATTCCTATGAATAATATGAATAAACTTGTATTTGGAGTCTCATTTAACAGTATTAAAATACAATTTGCAAAGTGAATTAGAGTAGTGGTACATGGTATCATATTATCCCTACTAGTACATATAAAAATAAGTCTAAGTGTCAATATTATTTTGTATTACAGAAGAGTTTCCTAAACTGTTTGAATGAATGGGATTTTCTCAGCACCCAAGTTTCTTGGGATCTCCAAGCACTCTTGTTATCAAGCTTTTAATTGGAAGGCAATAGAGTTCTGCAGACCAGCCGCAGTTCCCTGGCTAATGTCAGGAAACCTCAGTTTGGTCACTGCTGTATTTGCATTCTGACAGGCACCTTTGAAAAATAGAAGACTTATAAAACAAACAAGCACAGTGTAAGATGCTTGTATTCTGTATGATTTCACCTAGGAAAAAAAAATCCAGTGTGCTATGCAATAAAAATTCCCCAATCTTATTCACAGCGATCTCAAAATAAGACTTCCCAAACTGTAGTTATCTTATTTTCAGTAATTCCAGTCCACTACAAATGCAACAAAATGCACTGTAATGAATGGAATAAATCAGTCAAGATGTCTCCACATGCAGCCTCCTTGTGCTACAAGAGAAGGCTGATGCTTGTACCCCTCATGGGATTCCAACGACTGGCGCTCCTTAGCACTTCAATACAGTATGCCAGAGATGGATGCCTTTTGTCAACTTATTTGCCATCCTGCTTCTTTAGATAGCCAGGAATTTCTTCTTAATTGACAGAAAGCATGGCATGTTGTAAACACAGACTCCGCATGCTACATGAAAGCAAGTCTGCAATCTTAATTATAGCATATAATATCACTGCAGCTCATATTACGTATAATTTTCAATATGATATAAAGCTTATTTTTTCCATTACATGTTTATTTAATACAAATTTTCATTTAGTATCCTTCAAGGATATCTTCTTCTCTTCTTATGTTTCTTTCTTTTCTAAATCAGATGAAAAGAGACATTTTGCAAAATTGAAAAATGCAAGGCATTTGAACCAAATGAGTTTCAAATATACCACATCAGCTAAAGGTTATCACTTTAAATAAGGTATGTATGTTGTGTTTTGGAACAGAAACAATATAAATGGCTGTATTGCATAATTTCTCTACATAATACTGGTTTACTATTAACACCAAATTACTATTTTGTAACTACTGCAAATACAGAGTGACCACCGGTCTTTGAAGCCATTTCTTATTGGTATCAGTGGATGGTGCATTATGTTTTTTGTGCATTACAATTTTAGTATATCTCTTTTGTTTAAAGAATTAAACACCTCTTTAGTCTTTGATACAAAATCACACCCCGGGGCATAAAGTTTGTGATTTTGGACAAATTTGCAAAGCAACTCTTAAATTAGAAGAAGAACCTTACTCAGCAATTTGTCCCATTGACTCAAATGGGAATATTTGTGGAGTAAGGTACTACTTAATATGTGTGAGGAAAAAAAATCTGACATGATAATAGGTTTGGGGATTGTTTTATAATTTTTTTTCCTTAAATCCCAAGATGTGAGTATGGAAACTGGAGGATAATAGCTGTAATGGCTGCATTTCTATAGCAGAAGTATTTAAGTATGTTTTGAAAAATGAATGCATCTCTGCACTGAAGAGCCCCAAAAATGTTTCTTAAGCTTTAAGCTTTTAATTGGCTTTTGTTGATGTGTCCACAATACTGCCACGGGTTGCACAGTGAAATTCTGCTTTTTTTAAACTCTTTTAATCACTGTTATCTGAATCTCATTTTTGCCTCTGCACATGCAGCATTTATTCATTAATGTCCTTAAGTATGTTAACCACCATATGTTCATTTGTGTGAGCATGCTGAGTGAGTTGGAAAAAATAAAAGGTCGCATAGTATTTCTGGAAAAGGCACAGCCACCCCAAAAAATCAGACTGGCTGTTCCAAAGGTCAGATAACCTTTCAGTCACGGAACAAAGCTGTGGCGTACGCATTGGTTTCAGACCTTCTGCATACAAAGCTGTATATAATGGGGATTATACCACACAGTTCCAGGATTAGACTTAGCTATGTCTGTTTTAAGGTGGCTATAGTGAATGTCTTGCAGCAAAAGGATTCAGGCTCTGGTCTTTCCAAGCTGTTTACTTAAAACACCTAAGAGTCTAAAGGCAATACAGGCTTTGTTATTAGGAACAATGGTGGATCAACATGCTTTCCTGTAGGTATAGTGGCTTAACTCCAGACATCTCGGCTGTGTGGAGAAGAGCCTATTTTATTTTATTTGCAGTTAGTATTGATGGTTAAATATTTTGGCTGTGTAAAAAAACCCAAACAACAAAAACCAACCCCAAACCCAACAACAGAAAAATCAAATCAAAAAACCTCACAGATTTCTGTAACCATTCAGTTTGGTGTTATTAAAGCTTGCTAGAGGTGTAGCTGAGGATTTAGGGGTTATTTTGAAGATCAAAAAAGTAAATAGCCTTCTGTTCAGAACAGTGAGAGCACTAATGTGATTCTCTTTCACATTTTCTTGGAGCATTTATTAATGAAAAAAATGGAATGAGGTTAAACATCACTGTGGCATTTAGC